ACCGACTTTTGCCCTGGCGCGGAGCCCCCGGCGCCCGTTGCCCGCGGTGCGGCGGGGCAGGAGCGCGGCCACCCCCCGCCGGCCACCCAGCCCCGGGCTGACTTACTTGAGGAGAAGCGGGGGTCCGGGTTGGTGCCGTACCATCCTGTCGCCGAAGCGCTGTTCCGCATGGTGTCCTGGTAAGGCGGGAGCTCGCTCATGTTGCCCAGGTTCCCATTGCAGTAGCCCCCCATCGTAGCATGGGAGAGCTGGGGGACCCCTGCCGCTGTCATATGGTAGGCGGCAGTCACTGTTCCGTTGTGGCCCATGGGGTGCTGCTGCATGGCCGGCTGAGAAACCTGAGACTGTCTGTAGGCTGACAAGGGAGCGCCCAAGTTACTGCCCTCCATGCCCACTTTCTTGTAGCTTTCCTCCAAAGGACTCAAGATGTCAGACACTGAGAAAGGAGTCGTATGCTTTGGGCTCATCGACATGATTCGGCGGCTGGGGGAAAAAAAAAAAAAAAAAAAAGGAAGGGGAGGCAAATCTTTTTTTTTTTTTTTTTTTTTTGCCAAATATTCTGGTGTTGCCTTAACGCCGATCTTGTTGGATGTACACGTAACCGAGTGGACGAAGTCCGCCTTAATTGGATTGAGTGGAGGCTCAGGGCTGCCTTTCGTTTGTTTTAGCCAGACGCCAGGTTTTAGGCTGCCACCAGAGGCGGGGCATAGGCACTAAAGCAACAAGACAATAGAAGCCTACATCTTGCCCAAGATAATTAGCTTACATGCTGATGACAAGGTAAACACCTTTAAGTTTTACTTGTCAGGATTTTTTTTTTTATCTCTTAAAAAAAAGAGAGACAGAGAGTGGGGGAGAGAGGAAAAGAGAGAGAGACCCCGTGAGCACAACTCATTTTATTTTTCTCGGGGGTGGCAATATCGTGGACGGGAAATGGAAGGCAAGGCGAAAAGACCCCCATTTGACTGGGTGAAAGGATTCAAAATCAGCTCCCGGGTGGCAAGGCTGTCAGCCCAGCCTTTGTGAGAGCCGGGGAGACGGGGCTGAATGCCGGTGAGCTAAAGGACCGAGTGCCCTTCTCCCCCCACTAAGTTTGGTCTGGAAGGAGCCCCGCCGCCGGGAGGGCAGCTCTCCGGAGGGCAGACGTTTCGCGCTGGGCCACCGCTCCCAGCGCTCCGCACTCCCCGCACCGGCTTGTCAGGTACGCCGGCCGGCTGGTGGCTGCACAGCGCTTGGGATTTAGCATCTCGGGAACCTCCTCTATGTCTGTCTGCTAAGACCCCCAGTGCGAGACCCCCAGTGCAAGGATGGTTTCTCTCCCTAAACCCATAAGTTCCGTTCACCTAGGGATTTTTTTTTTTTAAACTTCAGGGAGAGGTGGAAGATGCAAGTTTGCAAAACCACGCAGTAATTTAATTGCCTGGGGCGAGAAACTGCTGAAAAATAGGTTAGCGCAAAACGTCGCTCGTTATTCTCAAAGGCAAAGACTGTCACAGGCTCTCGTGGTCCCTCTGAACCCGAAGCTGCTTTCTAAGATTATTTATATAGCACGGGAGCTGGATGGAGAAGACCTCTCAGGTCATCTGCTACACCACCTTGCCAATGAATTCCCTGCAGTTTCGAATAAACGGCAATTTCTGACACTTTCGGATCCGTTCTCGAATCCGGTGTGAAAACAAAAGCAAGTCCATTCACAGCCCCACACGTACATGCAGCCAGCAGCTAATGTCACTCGGGTCTTTGAAGAAATCTCCCAAGTTGTCCAGTGTCTCCAAAGCTTATATTTCGGGGTGTTCCTGGGCGGAGGAGAGAAACCTCCCCTGAGTGTTTCACACCCTGGCCTACGGCCCTGGCAAACCCAATTTAATACAGCGATTACCTGAATATTAAGAAAATTACAGCGAAGGTACAGTTAACCCAGTGACTTTGAAGTGTCAAGTAACTATTTAGTAATTGCACTTGTAAATATGTTTGTGCTCGGCTGCTTCGTGCTTAAAAATGCAAAAGTGCACTTGCTACCCGGGAATAACTAAATATCTTTGTCTAAAGTGGCAGCATAAATAGCCGGTCGCTTTGTGACTGTGCTTGATATTAGTACATAAGGATCATTTTGCTTCAATTGGGAGGCTCTCATTCACTAGGCAAGAAACCGTTTAGGAGAAAGTAGGTTCCCGTATGAGAGTTAACATCCTTCAAGTGTAAGCCTCAGCCTTGATTACACTTTAGAGCTCTGCAAGAGGTGAGCTTTTCCACACAAATATAATCGGGGGAACTTTCCTTCAATCAGGCCTCCAGCTCTCCTACATCATCTCAGCTGCCTCTTTCGGCACCAGCTCCCTCAAGGCTGAATACCCCGAAGTGGGCTTGTTGTGAGTCTGCTGGGTCACCAAAGGCAGGGAAGGGCGACTTTGGGCTAGAAAGGCGGCTGCTTTTCCTCTTTTCTTTCCAGATCTTTAGATCTTGTCTTTCCGGATCCCTGGAACATTTTCTCTCCCCCCCCCCTCAGCCCCCCTTTCTGCGCGTGTTTTTCAGTACGGTCTTTGGTTTTGTTCCTACAGAGAGAGACACTCGACCTTGCCTTGGTGGTTTGTTTTTTTATCCCCCCCCCCGCCCCGGATTTCTCAGGCACATCAGCTCCGTGCCTGGTTTATTAGCCTTAAAAAGGAGGGGGTGGATGGAGGGAAAAAAAAAACCCAAACCCCACAGGATCCACCAAAATGACGCTGCGGTCGGCTCAAATCCGAGACGAACGACAGCGAGTGACCGCGCAATATGTGGGGCAGGAGCAGCGACTCTGTTTCTCCCCAGGGAGTGCGAGGCGGTGCCGCTGGGGAGGCCCCGGCCCCGGCCCCGGCCCCGGC